ACTTTGACGACACGATTCCGCCTTTTCCTTGTCTCATCGTCATCTTCGTCGGCGTACGGCACAGCACAAACTCACAAACATCGCGCACCAGATGAACCTACCGCGCATATCATGACAGTGAGATGGAATTGCTTTACCAGCCGGGTTATTTAGATAATGATATTTAAACAAAGAACCAATTGGTAAACGATAGATTTTTTCACATAAAATTTCTATCACGAAAGACAGAAAAAAATAAGTAGAAGTGATACAAAAACGAACAAGCTAATATAGTTTGAAATGAAGTGAATTTATGCCTCAGCTTAACATTATAATCGTTTTGTCGCCTTTAGAAAATCGCATACGGCCTCGCAAATGTTCCTGTGGCTAAATCCCTTTTCAGTTGCTCCAAAGGAAAGGACCACCGGAAGGGATAAATTTAGAGCCAATCTACGGAGAGGTTCTTCTAACAGTCTTTTCCTTTGGTTTTATATAACCTGCATGTTAAGAGGAAATGGTGAAGGGATTCACTCTCGTTGCAGTGGAGGCATAAGAGAGACTGTGCCAGACCAGAAGACCTGATTGATTGATTGATATGTGGGGTTTAACGTCTCATAACCGTCATTTGATTATGAGAGACGCCGTAGTGCAGGGCTCCGGAAAGCCAGACCAGACCTGTGTAGATAAAAGTTCAAGGGGGGGGGGGAGGACTCGGCATCTTAGTTTCGTAATTGCTATCTCCGCCGTTCTAGAGGAGCAACATCGATTTTTCCAAGGGTACTTAAGATGGGGAAAATCCGATGTTCCCAAGCGAGATTTTTAAAAATGATCTGATGTGACATATTTTTCAGAGCGTGCCACGGCGATAAATGCTAGCGTCGGCAATATAGAAATTATAGGATAATTATGTGAGGCCAGTGCGAGTGCATCTGCATATTCATTGAAGGTTAAACCTTTATGCCCTGGTATCCACACCAAGCAAATGATTCGTCAATGTCTTGGGGCAAGGTAGTAAGATACTTTCAAAGCATTGGACATATTAGGCACAGTTAATGAACTACACACAGACAAACAGTCTGAAAGAATAATAGCATCTGTAATTGATTGAGGTGATTTTCGTAACTCTTAGAGAACTGCCAGTAATTCCGCTTGAGAAATGGGTGTAAAATGGGTTAAACGAATCGAAAAAGACCAATCCAACACTGAAGATGCAATTCCGACTCCTGCCTTCTCTTCGCGAACTGAAGCATCAGTTGCTATTACAATCTTTATGTCTAATCTTGCCAGGTGGTCTTCCAAAATGGCATTTAGGTATCTACTGGGAGAGTTGTACAATTATTAGTTAATATATTGTCAAATTCTATTTTCGTGGTTTCAATAGTTGTTCTTAGTACCCGTACTTCACGAACGTTAACTTCTAATGTTTTCAAGAGCTTCTGTACGACGATGACCTGTGGACGCTTTAATATAGACCACTGTTGGTTAAAAAAGGACGTCGGCTCACTATTGAAAACATTGCAGCCTCCTATGTGGAGATGCGTATATTTTTAGGAAGGTACGAACTGCTAGTATTTGAAACGAAGAGGAGACAAACGCGCTTCCTTATATAAAATATTAATTGCGACAAATTTAGGGAGCCCTTGACGAATACGTAACGCTTCGCGTTCTAGTTGTACCAGTGGTCTAATTTTGTAGGCGGGTGCTCCAGAAAACAAGACACAGCCAAACTCCTATATTGGGCGAATATACATACAATATATCATTACTAGCACATCACGACGTAAATCACAACGTTTATTGCTGAGTCTATGAAGCATTCCAAGCGCCTGTGCTCCTTTAGCTGCAATATTTTCTGTATGCGGACTCCAATTTAGGTTTTCAGTATAAGTCACTCCTAAGTATTTAATCGATTTCACCTGCGGGATAAAGTCCTGTCTGTAAAGTACGGAAATCTTCACCGGAACACTTATAGGAAAAACTACGACTGCACTTTTTCTGATGTTTATTGATAGATTAATTTCGTCTAACCACGTGTCCAGAGCGTTCATACAAAACTGTAGCATCTGATATAATGCATGTATATCTGTAGCTGTAGCAAAAAATGTGATGTCGTCAGCGTATACATACACTTGTACATCATGTTGTACTGGAATTGTGCACAAGAAAATAATAAATAATAATGGCGAAAGTACCAAACCTTGGTGGAGACCTCTAGTTTGTTTATACTTTGAAGAAGACACGTCAGATTGAGAGCAATATAATTCTCTACCTTTTAAGAAGGAGTAAACCCATACCACGAAGTAATTTGGTAAACCGACGTGCGTTAGCGAATTTCTTAGTTTAATGTGTTCCACGCTGTCGTAAGCTTTTGCAATATCTAAAGTTACTAAGGCGGAAACCTGTTTTTTAGAACGGGCTACTTGTATTCTGCTTTCCAGATCAACACGCGCACATCAAATGGAACAGCCACACCTGAATCCAATTTGGTATGGGCTTAAAATTGCATTTTCGTCCAACCAGTTGTCTATCCTAATGTGCAGAATTCCTTCTATTAGTTTTACCAGATTAAGTGTGAGTGAAATAGGCATAATGTTATCCAAAGTAAACCCAGCTCCGTGTTTTTTTAATAAAGGAATTATTTTCGTGATTCTCCACTCAGGCGGAATCCACGAATGTCTAATGAATGTCAGTGAAGTGTTGACATTGTACTGCAGTCTATCTTAAGGTACACGATAATTTGTGTATTGTGAAACTTCGTCTGGTGTTATACGACAGCTTTTACTAAACTGTCGAGTGATCCGGTTTCAGCGCCTGTGCTAGTGCCTCGAACTGCGTGCGTAATTAACATTACTAGTGGAAGTATGAAGAAAAAATTTTTTCCCAATCTCGGCAGGAAATCGGAGAATTTCGCCATTCCTTAATTTTAAACAAGACGCACTTCTGTTTTTTTTTTTTTTTTTTTTTTTTGCGAGATGGCCCGCAGTGAAGGGAGAGCAAGGTAATAAGAATTTACTGGAGCGATTGAAAGTGAGCTAAAGACATGTCTGGCGCTCCGACCGTTCTCCTTTGATCCTTTTGAAAGGGAACCAGGCTCTGTTGTGCGTGGGAAAATGTGGTACCTGTGCGATGCGCTGTATCTGCGCTTTCATCGTGCCATTCCAGATGTATTTTGGTGGCCGCGCGACTCTCGTTAAGCCTTCGCCGTTGGGCCTTGGATGTTCGGCCGCCGCCGTTTTTCACGGTTTGAATTCGAGCCGAACGCGTCCTGCTGCCATTTATTCGTATCGATCCGAATGCTGCATTTCGCTCTCTCGAGTATGATTGCGGCGCCCATGCTGCGTACTATTACAGCCGACGTTTTGCTTTCTCATATCTTGCATGCGATCAGTGTGGCGCTGCTTCGAGGTTGTAACAGCATGTGAAAACGAAACGTTGCGGGCTTATCGCGAAATGGAGCGCGCCTTAATTTCTGTGTTCGTGCGTTCGTTCATCATATCCTCCCGCTGAAATGATAACCGCTGCTTCTGGGTTTCTTCATACGTGCGCAGCGCACACACGGTGGGCGTTCTATAGCGGTTCAATTACGTCTAATAAACTATTCAACGTTTGTCGTAGGCGAACGCTGTGCTTCGGACTAAAGCGGTGTTTGCAGTTTGATTGACGTACGAATGATTTGTATGATTCCAGGAAGCCTGCGCGGGTGTGTTAATAATTATTTGTGGCTTGCATAGTTGTGACAACCGTGGTGTCCACCGCTTTGTTGCTAAGTTTCGCGTTGTAGCGTGTTAATAAAATGCATCGTTGCTTACTTGAAACTACACGTAGTTCGAATAAGTGAACGGATAGGACAAGCGCAAACAGTGACACACATGCGTTAAAAGAAGGTAGTCGTGAAAACACGGACGCAGATGAATGTGTAGCACTCATTAATAATCGTGTGTTCATAGCCCCGCCGCGGTGGTCTAGTGGCTAAGGTACTCGGCTGCTGACCCGCAGGGCGCGGGTTCGAATCCCGGCTGCGGCGGCTGCATTTCCGATGGAGGCGGAAATGTTGTAGGCCCGTGTGCTCAGATTTGGGTGCACGTTAAAGAACCCGAGGTGGTCTAAATTTCCGGAGCCCTCCACTACGGCGTCTCTCATAATCATGTAGTGGTTTTGGGACGTTAAACCCCACATATCAATCATTAATCGTGTGTTCATAAGGGACTAGTGAAGCATTAGAGGTCTTTTGTCTGAGGCTGTCTTTGCATCGTCAGCCAAGCCGTCCCTCCCATCCCCCTCCCCCTGAGAAAAAAAAATCAAGGAAAACAGCAGCGTACACCTTGTTTCTGAAGACGCCTGATAACAAATTTGGAAAGTCGAGATGCTTCTGTTGTTCGGTAGTATACTGCATGCGGGGCCATTTCTGACCGATTATTTTAGCGCAGTGTTGTCTAGATTGTGCCTTCTTTTGTCCATGTCCTGCGCTACTATATATTATCCTGTTATCGCAGAATGACTTTGACATTTATTGTTTCAAGTCTGCACTTCATGCTTTTTTTTTTGGTGAGCTGATGTCTAAAATGTCAGCTTTGAACTCATCTTTGATGTGTTTTTTTTTTTGCGTGTAGAATAATGTACGCTTTCTGTGTGTTTATTCTTATGTACACCGCTTTCTGTATAGCATCACTGCATGCTGAACTGAAATCGGCTGGGAAGCTAAGTCAAGCTCACATCTTTTTCTTCCCATGCCCTCTACTTCCTGAAGTGGAAAATAATTGATTTATTGATTTATTTAGTGATCATGCTACCATACCAACAAGTCCACTCGCCACACTCATCGACTATACATTGGAATTGATACGGAACCACACATTTGTGCAGGAGTAGTGGTTTTTAACTATATTCACGATATACTTTTATCTGGTTCGTTCTTTTGTGTTCGCGTATCAATTTTTAGGCGACCTTTGTAGTGTGCTATACTTTCTAGCGACTACACTGGCATTAGTGGATGACGTCACTGGTTCTCTCCCCACCGCCAGGTGTCGGCATCGTCCTGATCACGGTGAGCGGCATCGCGTGGCGGTTGACGGCCCACGAGGCCCCGTCGTGCCGCGCTATGCTCGGACTGCGCGGCGACGAACCGGGAGGTCGCCGCTTCGTGCCCCGGGTTCCCCCGTACGGAGGGAGGCCAGGGGGACACCCGTACGCAGGTGAGCGCTACGCGCAACAGTGGACCGCTTTGGATTAACTGATAAATGATGATTCCAGTGTCGTTCGTTTCACCATGCCTGGTTTAGTAATAAAAGTAAAACATCTAGTTCAGTGTGTAATTTTCAAACGCCGATATTTCTTGTGCGGCGTCACTGATTGATTGATATGTGGGGTTTAACGTCCCAAAACCACCATATGATTATGAGAGACGCCGTAGTGGAGGGCTCCGGAAATTTTGACCACCTGGGGTTCTTTAACGTGCGCCCAAATCTGAGCACACGGGCCTACAGCATTTCCGCCTCCATCGGAAATGCAGCCGCCGCAGCCGGGATTCGAACCCGCGACCTGCGGGTCAGCAGCCGAGTACCTTAGCCACTAGACCACCGCGGCGGGGCAAGTGTGCGGCGTCACTGATTATACAGAACGTATTGTGTTTTGACGCAATTGGCTCAACAAAAATTTGGGGATTTTTAAGTTTCGCCTTTAACAGTTAAACGCGACTGCAAGTGCGTGCTTCAAACACTTAGTACATCAAAATCTTTTCGTGGTTTAAGGGAATAGGCACAGTAACGTAACATGTAGGCCTTTTGTAGTGGGTGACTGGCTTCAAACCATCAAGTCATTATGATAATTACATGTTCCGATGGCGCTTGCATTACGTATTACTACTGCTAAGTGATTCTAAGAGAGGGAAAAGTAGAGAAAAGTGAGCCCCGTAACTGTCTGCTTCAGCGAGCGACACCTCAACAGTAGCTCACAATGTATGGGGGTGAGGAGAGATTGAAAGAGTAGGAATAAAGGTATAGAGAAAGAGGTGTCAGGTGGTAAGCGTGAGAGCGACGACATATCGAAGTGATAGGAGAGATAGGAAAGATGGAAACACGGTCACAGGAGTCCGAGGACGGAGCACCACTTGCGAGAGCTCTAGTAGGCATCAGGAGGTAGCGTAGGGCAAGTCCAGTAGGGCAGAGCTGCGCTGCTGCAATACTTGATGCTGTATTGTGATTCATGTATCGAGAACGCGTTTGTTTGGTCAAGCATGTAAGCACTGCGTTTGTAAGCAAGGAAAGTTATTTTCGCTGCATTCGCAAGCAGACGCGTGGATGCGTGGTACAACACCCGCTTGCCACACACACGACCCCAGTTCGATTCGCACTCAGACCCAAAATTTTTTCATGGGAGTTTTATTTCCATCTTTCTCGATTTTTCGGCCACAACCAATGACGTCCCGAATTCCTGCGAAGGGAGCTCTTTAACACCTGGATTTTGTCAAACTTGGTAGTTATGTTAAGGGGACGCTGTTTTGCTGACTACGTAGGCCGTAAAGATATGCAACATCACGGCTAAAAATAGCGTTGTCGCCCTCACTATCTCTCTGCGTCTTCTCGTGTTTTGCTCTCGAGAGGAGTATACTGACACGTCTATGATATTTGAGATTGTTGCTCTAAATAAAATGACTGCTGTCAACAAACGTGAAACGTGTATTATAGTGTCTGGGAATGCATGGAACATATTTTTATTATCGCTACGTTAAAGAGACAATTTCGGTGTTTCTATCGAGAGGGAGGCTTCTCATTGACGTGACATAGCAGTCACAAGAAGACGGCAACTGGCAACGCACTAACGGCAAAAGTGAATTCACTGCCGTCCAGTGAGTGATGTATGTGATTTAGACGTCACGCAGAGCTTGCAAACTGTCTTGTTTCGTCGGCATATTGTAGTGTAGCTGGCTTGCTCAGTGAGGAAATTTTAGTCAGAATGAAAGGGCACCTGACACGCACCCGTTGTAATTAACATAAACAAGCTTAATGGGGCGCACTTGTTGTTGGTCATGGACGCAATGCTCTCTGTGTGAGCGACGCTGAAAATAAAAATGCGATTCAAAAGAATTATTATTATTATTATTATTATTATTATTATTATTATTTGATCAAGAAAAAAATAAAACCAACTGCCTGGTTCAAGAGGCGTCAGTCACTGTCACGAGCTCAGCTCTTCGTCATAGTCGTCTTTCAGGTACTCCAACTAGATACTGTCTCTCTCCCTCTTCCCCACTACAAGACAGACAGACCGACAGACAGACAGACAGACAGACAGACAGACAGACAGACAGATAGACAGATAGATAGATAGATAGATAGATAGATAGATAGATAGATAGATAGATAGATAGATAGATAGATAGATAGATAGATAGATAGATAGATAGATAGATAGATAGATAGACGGACGGATGGATGGATGGATCGCGCTAAGAAATGCTTCGCATTTAAAAAAATGGCAGCATATCCACGGAGTGAATAATGGAGAGTGGGGCGAAGCATTTGTCCGTCCATGCGTCCGTCTGTGTGACCGTCCATGCGTCTGTTCGTGCGCCCGTCCCTGCGTTCGTTCATGCATCCGCTCCTGCGTCCGTTCATGCGTCCATCCATGCATCTGTCTGTGTGTCCGTTCGTCCATCTATTCAACACTCCAAGTCCCACCATCTCGCATCTTTTTATCATATATTCCCCATATAGAAGCACCGCCATTCAGTGGACATTCCAATGACTAAACGAGAGGTGGCACACGCACACTTTATTACGGCTTGCGCTTCGGGTCTACTTCCCACCTTCAACCACCTTGAGTTCATGGTATATACTAGTTCACTGTATTCATGGCACTGCGGCCCAATGCTCGCTGAACCTTTCTAAAACCAAGGAGGTTACGCCCAGCGAGTATAACGTAGCAACCCTTTCCTGTCAGATAGTGCTCAATGTACATGCCAGTGGCTGCTAATGTGAAATGAAAGACAGGAGGATTCAGCTTTTAATTTCTTACGGCTTGCGCTTCGTATCTGCTTCCCCCCTTTAACCACCTCGAATTCATTCATGGTATATACTAGCTCATTGTATTCATGGCCCTGCGGCTCAACGCTCGCTAAACCTTTCTAAAGCTAAGGAGGTTACACCCCGCGAGTATAATGTAGCAACCCTTTCTTGTCCGATAGTGCTCAGTGTACATGCCAATGGCTGCTAATGGAGATCGCAGCGTGCGCGTTGACTAAAAGCCGAATGCTCCTGTCTCTCATTCTCCATTAGCAGTCATTGGCATGTACATTGAGCATTATTTTTAATTGTTAAACAACGCACAGAAGAAACAACTCACAGAAGAAATGTTATACCTATTTTCGGGTATGTGCCACTGGTGGTTACGTACTACGAGGGACGCACAAGCCACGCCATAAGGAGCTTCGCCCCTAAAACGAAGTGGTGAGCACAAACATGCGCCTAGGATGCGAAGTACGGGTTTGACCCGGTTGAAACGGGCAGGACGTGGGTGCTGGAAGAGCGTTTTGAAGCGAAACTCGGCCTAGCGTTTAACTCGAGAAAACGACGTCGCCGTTCGCGAACGCGCTCGCAACGCCGCCGACGGCCTGGTTATGCGTAATGGCATAGGCGGAAGTTTCAGCGGCGAAAGAGCGTCGTCTTCCTGCGACCTCCCTCTCCATCGCACATAAGCAAGCCGAAAGAGTGTTATCACTCCATGTGTGCTCGAGCGTTGCGAATGGTGGAGAGAGTGAAGCGAGAGAGAGGTGACACGTAGAGACACGTTTCAACGCGTACGATAGACGGGCGTCAGTTTTATTGCGCGTGAACTGACGAGTCGTTGGTGTAGCGAGTGGCGGTCGCAGTAGCGGGGCGAGCGCGCGGCAGGCGAGGGAGAGAGTGGTGTCAGTGCGCACTGCGAGGGGAGCGTGACGTCACTCGTACGGAGGGACAGCTGGCCTCGGAATGTCTGAAATTCCACCCATGGTCGAGTGGAGGCCAGAAAAGCGACTGCTAAAGAAGAACCATAGTGGATCCGTTCAAATCTACCCTCGGGGACGCCAAAAAATCCGCTAGAGGCACCATAATAAGCTCAAATTTTAAAGCGAAGAGAGCCACTATTTTGAAAAGGCTATTTGCTATATAATTGATTATGCACTCGACTGTACAATTCCTCATTGTACAGTCGAGTGCATAATTTTAGAGACCACGGGAGCGCATGCCGAGGCGCGTCGCTGCGCCTTCTGGCGGCTGCACGGCTCTGTCCGGGAGCGCGTACTGCGCACGCTCGTCCCATATCACCCGGCAGCCTGCCCTTTCACTCGTTTCAATGGCGCGCATCTCAAAACGATGCGGACGGTGCAAGGTGTCACTTCTGTAGTCGCTGTGAAGACAATGAAAAAAGCCGAGCGCTAATGTGACGACAGCACATCATTTGCGGGTTTCGGCTTTACAATTCGATGCCATCTCGTGTGGCGCAAGTGATTGGTGCCGATGGGCGTTTGATTAAATACTGAAAGTAGTGATCTTCATGGATAGCAGTTATAGCTGTCGTTTTCTTTTTTTTTTCTGGATTATAAGAATAAACTGTTTATTTATCGCGTTTCCTGGCTATTCATTCCGGATGCGCGATATCCAGTGGTTTACTGCTTACCACTGCATGCGCGATATTCGCACCAAAAAATGGAGCTGGCATAACGTCTCCGAGACAGAGCACAAAATTCATCATTGCAAGATGAGCATATCACGCAACTCCGTTTTAGAAAAGCTGAGAAAGTGCATTTTTTCCGCGCTGCATTAAGGAAGAAAGCGTATTGCATGGCGCGCTTGAGCCATGCTATTACATTAGAGGCATTTTCGCCGCTTTATTATTGCTCGGAAGTACCGGTGCTTGCACAGCGACTGCAGAAGTGGCACCTTGCGCCGTCCGCATCGTTTCGAGATGCGCGCCGTTGAAACGAGCGAAAGGGCAGGTTGGCGGGTGATATGGGACGAGCGTGCGCAGTACCAACACCTCCTAGGAGGTGTTGGCAGTACGCGCTCCCGGACGCGAATTTGGAATTGCTGGCCGCGCATCGCAAGAAAGAGGGAAAAGAAAGAGTGCGAGGAGGGCGCCAGCGGCAGGATTGCTCACGCACTATTGGTTCCTCTCTGTAGGTCACGTGCACGCTTGTAGGTGACGTGATGGTGAC